AAGGTGTCGAAGTTTGCATGGTTCAAAGGGTTGGACTTGAGTCGAGACTTCATACGCGTGATGTCTCGTCTCATGTCCAATCACTATTGTCTAAACGCTCACTTGTTCCGTGTGGGGTTGGGAGACAGCAATCTCTGTGAATGTTGACAAGGTTACCAGGACGCTGATCACATCCTTTGGTCTTGTGCGGAGTATCGTGGAGTCAGATCACATTTTTATGATTCCCTTCGGGCTCGAGGTAGACAACCTAATGTTCCAGTTCGGGATATTTTGGCTAGACGCGATCTGGAGTTTATGAAACTCATATATGTTTACTTTAAGGATATTAACCTTAGATTGTAAGTTTGATTAACCTTGTGTTTAGTTTGTGTTTTGTACGTCTGGGGGTTTTTTTTTCAATGTTTGTTTTCAAGATGAATAGAAATAATTTCATGCTTTAGGATTATTTAAATAGTTATATCGTAAACCACATTTAAAACCTCCTTCTTCCCTTTTCCCATTCAAAAAATTGTAAATCTCCACTAACCTCGAGACGACCGCGAGTACTCGGTCCAGTTCCTTTAACTTTAAATATAAGACATTAACAATGTATAACGCAAAGGATACCTCGGCTCTGTAAAGTTTATTCGATTGAGCCTGTACAAATAAAGTAATTACAAAAAAAAAAAAAAAAAAAGATCTTCGACATGATTCCTGATCAACACTTTATTATGAAAATACGTTCTTATTGACTGAAGATCTTCAGAAGAATTGCTGATATATTTGTTATAAAAGGGGCGCCGGTGGTGTAGTGGTAAGCGTGATTCCCTCTCATTCCAAAAGGCCTGGCTTCAATCCAAGTCGGCACCACCGGGGTTTTCTGAGGAATAAAATTTCTTATCACGCCTTCCAACGGAAGTTAAACCGTTGGTCCCCAGTCCATGAGTTGATGGGTCGATATGGTACTCAGCACGGAAAACAAGATCGACGGAAACAAACCAAGGATTTTTTTTTATATGATAAAGAAATATATGGAGAACTCGATTTCAATTTTTTATTAGTCCAGGTCTTCGATATAATTTTTGATAGTTCGGAAGTATTCCTAATCAACCTCATATGATGAGAGAATATTCAAAGGAATTATTTTTAATGTTTAATCATTTGAAGATCTACGATTCTTATATTTTGAAATGCATTCTTGCTGACCGAAGATCTTCATAAGAATTTTAAATAATTTCGATTTGATTAGGAAATATGATATCAATTTATCAATTTATTTATTTATTTATTTAGTCGTTAATCAAAAGCGTAGATTACATTATAATATCATTACTTATGATCTATGATTTCGCAGTTCTTGGAATTATTTTTCAATTTTAGCTGTAACATATTTAGGTCTATCATTTCACAGTTTTCATTATATATAGATATCATCTGACTTATCGATCCATATTTCGCGTAGCTGGTGCGATCTATCGCGAACAAATGTATATTACGCAATTTTCGAAAAGGTGCATAAAAATTAAGTCTTGATAATAAATAACCTGAGTCAATGCGTTGCGAAGCTATATTGTTTACGGAAGAGACCATATATGTTATACTGATGCTCTTTCAATACCTGAATGTTAATTAACAAGCAACATGCTTCATAAGATGGGAGAAGAAATGCTGTCCATCCCAATTAACTCATATAATAAAAACTACTTTTGGATTGACTCTATTCGTTCAATTGTGTAAGGTGTAAAGTGAAAACCAAAATTATATTTTAGATGTATTCATATTTGCTCACGTTTCTTAAACTGACATACGAAAAGATGTTGTATATAATTCTAGCAAGTTTTCACCTAGTTTTTTTTTTATAAATATGTTATAAACAGATAATTGAGACATTCAATACCGAATTATAACTTCAAGATCAACAGCATGTCAGAAAGGTTGAATATTTCACAAAAACAATACAACGGGTCTAAAACAAGACGTTTTGCAAGCAATTAATATAGAACTTATTCACAACTGGGATTTCTTTTATTTTTCAAGAACGATGTTGCAAGTGATACTTGGGAACGGACCGTCAGAAAATTGTAAGATACTGCGAGAAAAAATCTAATTCATTTCAAGTCCTGTCAAGAGTTCCTCAGGGATCGCACTTGGGACCTCTTCTTTTAATTTTGTACGTTAACGATATCTCTCTTATTTCGAAAAAGCTCAAAGTGCTTATTCATGCTGATGAAGTACATGTTTTTTTTAGACGTGGTGTTGTAAAAGTTTGTTTGATAAAATAAATACATAATATATAAAATAAAAGATTTACGAGTTTTTCTAGATTCTAAATAAGCATTTGTGGATCATTATAACACAATAATTCTTAGAGTAGGCAATTCATATTTATTTTATAAAGCGTTTTGGTTTTCACTTTACACCTTACACAATTGAACGAATAGAGTCAATCCAAAAGTAGTTTTTATTATATGAGTTAATTGGGATGGACAGCATTTCTTCTCCCATCTTATGAAGCATGTTGCTTGTTAATTAACATTCAGGTATTGAAAGAGCATCAGTATAACATATATGGTCTCTTCCGTAAACAATATAGCTTCGCAACGCATTGACTCAGGTTATTTATTATCAAGACTTAAATTTTATGCACATCATGGAATTCTCCTGAATTTGTCTAAATTCACGCTTTTAGATGTTTAAAACAATCCAATAGTCTGGGCTTAAATTTCGGGGACTTCCGCTTAAGATCTCTGGAATTCGCCAAAGATCTTTAGATCTAGTTTTTCTGATATGTATAGAACTTCTTAAAAGTTTCCGCAATTTTTCTAGTACGAAACTTCAAGACATTAAAAATGTTGTTATCTTAGACTTACTAAAATAAAGTAAGAAGTAAAACTGAATGTCATGTCTTCAAAACGTTTGCGTTAATTATTGTTGTTGTTGTTTTACAAAAAAAAATCATATTTTTAACGCATTTCATAAATGGCTTTCTTATTACCGTGCCGATTCAAATTTCGGACACTTAAACTCGAATTTCGGACACTTTTAAAAGTTGATTATCTCGGTCGAATATGATCCACATGTCTTGTAAATTTTAAAGTTTTTTGACTAGTGCCCTCCACGATCATCTAACATTATTACTTTGTTTATAACTGGATGTAATATTTAATTAAAAATGAAAGTGTCCGAAATTTGAATCGTCCGAAATTTGAATCGGAACGGTATAAACCTGGAAATTATCCGCCAAAGTTATAGAAAAACCTGGAAAACTCAGGGAACTTTATTTAGCCCAGTGAGTGGACACTCTGTAGCAGTGTTGAGAAAATATCAAAAAATCAAATCTCACCAATGCCCAAGATCACGCTTGATTTTCGTAGACAAAAATCAACAAGCAAACAACTGCGGTTGATTTTGCAAGCTGTGTTATCGCAGCTTGGAATATCAAGCTAACAAAACTCATCAGCTGCAAATCTCAACAAACTGTGGTGAGATTGCTTCATGATTTTTGCTTTACATCCGAACGCAACCGAAACTTCCATAACAGCTGGCAGCAGTCACTTCGTCTTTGCCATCGGTGAAGAGTTAAAAGAGATAGCAAACTATACTTTCTCTTTCTAGGAAAACTATGTGCAACGGAAGCATTTTTGTGTCGAGTCAACTCTCAGCTTGATTTTTGCATGTTGTGAATAGTGTCGCAATATCAGGAGCTTGTAAAATCAATATCAAGCATGATATTTTGTTCCAATATCACGCGTGATATTGAGAGCGTATGAGAGCGGAAAAACATAACTTGATTGATGATTTTGCCAACACTGCCCTGTAGATAGAGAAAGACGATTAAACATTAAAAAAAACTCGTCAACTTCGAATTGTTCAAAAATTAGAACACAATCAAAGACAACATATCAAGAAGACTGGCAACTGTTCAATTTCCTCGTACGATCACTATGAGACAATTACGTCACCTGCCGCTCAAAGGTAAATGCTTCGAACGAATTTGATAGCAAAGATTTCATCCCAAGAAGAATCGCTTTATCGCTTGGATTCTGGAAAAGTTACCAGTTTTCTTGATATGATGTCTTCGACAAAATGTAGGACTATCCTAGACACTACAAGAAGAATGATATATCTTGAAATAAATTCACGTTAAAAAAAAAAGTTTAAAATAGTGACTGATTACAAGAAAAGGTGACTTTAGTGGCTTGGCCTTAAAAAAGGAGACTTTTTAGTTACTTTCTTGAAAAAAAAGTGACCAAGTCACTAAAAAGTGACTCGCTACCAGCCCTGGAATAGCACAACAAGAAACGGTTGTGTATTCAAGTTATTAACGACAGAGAAAGTCGACGAAGAGAATCGATCAATGTTTCTTAGTTACAACTGTGCAGTATTCATGCAAGCTTTTCTCTTCCTTCATGACATGTGTGATTTCGATCTAATTTCTCAATTTAAATTAAACCATTTTTGATCAGAAACGTTATTACTAGGACATCATTGCTTGCTGTTATCAGAATTCACACAAGCACAACATTCGCAGCTCTTATTATGAGAAAAACTAAAATACATACATTCTTGACGGTCTTCGGTGACAGTGTCGTATGACACAGCCTGTCATATGACATTTAATTTGGTACTGTACTATGCTAGCTTGTTTTGCAAGTGTCGGAGGTAAAGGCAGTCGATTATCTCACAAAATGTATCGACTACCGTGACCGCTTACCAGCCTGAACACAGTCATATCAGTAAGCTCCTCGTTCACATATGTAACATAGACAGCAGTTTACTGTCACTAAGTTGAAAAAATTGAGCCCTGATCCTAGGTATCAACTTTAAAGTTCATGCTCTTTGATGAATGAAAATTGTATATTGGAAAAACAAATTGCAGGAAAACTTTACTAGAATGGAGCTAGTTCTTGTAAATTCATGATACCTACTTAACTTTCCCCATCCTATCGAGTATAACTGCAACCCAGCTAGAGACGAAATATCCTAATTTTAACTTTCTTTTCCGTTTCTTATTCTTCCAGGAACCGTTGTTGATGCATCTATGTGGAACAAAATTCATCGAGAGTTACGCCGAATAGAAAAAAAAAATAAAACAGACCGCAGCAGTAGATCTCTTGTTGGAATCGGTTACTGTTTTTCATTGAGATGTTCGGAGTTGCAATAAGTGGTGGTGAAGTGAAAGCAAATACTAGAGCCAGTTGAGTGATGTACCGCTTTTACCGGGAAAAAGTTTCCGTCGCCAACGATTGCAAGTGAATCCTTGCCTAAGCATCTCGCTGTTCCGGTGGATATACGTTGGATTTTGATACGAAAAGGTACTTACCATTAGTATGATCAAACAATTTGTGATGTATTTTTTATGGAAACATATTTACAATCAATGACAACATGAGGGCTTTCGGGTATGTTTGAGGCGATATTTACAAAGCTCGTGAATACGCAGGACATTTTTCACAAATGAACAGAAATTAACAGACAAAAGCAGTTTCCTTTTTTACCTTTACATCGTACAATTCTAGATGAGTTCTTTAAAAGGTCCTATCTGCTTCAGTCGATTCTCTCCATCGACCTTTTCTTTTGAAAACCACGGGTCTGCAAACAGATTTCGAGCTATTTTTGCCACACAGTTTGTTGAAAGAATGTCAAACACGACAGGGAATGTTTTTGCAACTGAGTTATTAATGAAGGATGAAGTCGATGAAGAGAATCGATCAAAGCAGATAGGACTTTTTGAAATGATCGTCTAGAATAAGTAGCCTTTAATATATTTAAAGTTTGTTTGTTTAATATTAATTCCGTAGGTAGATAACAATTACATAAACGTCTACATATAGCATATACCATTATCTCTCTCTCGCTAAGTAACTTTCTATCATTCTGGGGAAAATAATAGACGTATCGTCCTGCTAACATGTTGTAATTTTAACTGTTAATATAGATCGGATTAAAATGTGATTATTGCTAACCCTTTCTGTGGGATTCGGATGTTTTCCGATTTCAAGTCAAAAACCGATGACGAATGTGCAAAGTATGAAGCAAAGAAAAGCCCTTCAAAATTCTCATCATCCTGTTTTAGGTTATCTGCTTGAATATTCGAGACCTTGTTTTTCTTTTATTGCTACTGAATTCCAGTGAAACGCATTAGAAAGGAAAACGGTGAGCGATGAATTATCTTTTTGTGCTTGGTGGAGGATTGCCCATTTTTCTGGAAGGGCTATTTTATCAACAACAACATAAAAGGATCCCTGAAGAGGCGGAACCTATTATAGAATTTTTTTTTCCAGGATGTCTGGATGCTGCTAAATATGATTCTGCAATAATCTTTTCTTACTTCAAAGATCCTTCCTTCTAGGTAGAAGAAATGGTCACCTACAATGGGTTGACGACGGATTTCGGGTCGTCAATGTTGGGCTAACAAACAAAAAATGGATCGCGCGTTTTTTCCGTTCACTTCGTTTTTTTTTTGTGCGTGATTCAAAACTTGTTTTTTTTTTAATCTTTCTTCTTCTTAGGGAAGAGAAACGGTGCTGCTACGTGGAGGGGAAATGGTCTAATAAATGATGGAAACTGAAATTATAAGAAAAACGGTTGGCGGTCAGATGTTATCTGGCTGGTCTATTCTACCACTGCAGTGCATTAGTATGTTAGTAGTGTTTGATTGATAGTCTATTTTTCAGCTTAAAATTCTAGAGTATTTGATTAAGCATTGACAGTCAATATTTTCTAATTAGTAGCTACAAGCAGATCAGCAATCTAACAAACACGTTTCGTTCGAACGCCAAGCAATCAATATATTTAAAGGAACTTCCAAAGTTTTGTGTGGTATAGGGGAAGGAGGGGCATAATGAGCATCCTGTACTTTAGTCTTAAATTTATAATTCAAGCTGAACATTGCATTAGGTTCTAAGTAACATTGATAGATTCTCTCCGTCGACGTTCTCTTTGTATCACCACGGCCATGTAAAGACATTCCATTTCCACACAGATCGATAAAAGAAGCTTGTATCTAGCATCTAATACGACAAACACGACAAGAAACGGTTATGTGCTCGAGTTATTAACGAAAGAGTCGACGAAGAGAATCGTTCAATGTTACTTGGGACGTAATGCAATGTCCAGCTTGAATTCTTCAAAACAAATTAATTGGTAGTAGGTTAGCATTAATTCCGGCGGCAAAAAAAACAAAATAAAGCAAAATGAGCTTGCTTTTCGAACTCAAAGGGGCTATTTAATTTGCAGCCGGAGACGAACCAGCGTTCGGCTGAAAGTCTCCTTAATAAAGATAACTAACTAACTACTTTGCTGCATTATCAAAATTCAAAAGTTGCTTTTTTTAACCGATCTGAACTGAACTGATTAAGATTGCATTGACAAGTCATCAATAGTCGTTAACCTCATTTTTCACAAATCAAATATACCGGGATAATTTTTCCAATACCTCAGTCAGTAGGTTCCCACTCCTTCTCCACCACTGCCTCCCTCGCATTCGTGTAAACATTATTCTTTTCACTCCTTCTGTCACCGAAAACCCAGGCAAACAAATTAGGTCACGAAAACAATCTGCTTTCAGAGCGAATTGAAATCCCACACATTTCCTTAACTGACGGTAGGTAGGAGCAGCACCGACCGGCTTCACTTGGCACTTTCCACAATATTCGTCCCCTGTCCCCCCTCTACCAGCCACCTCGAATCGACCCAGAAAAAAAATGAAAGTAACTTTATTTATTCACTATCATCGATTCGGCTTTGCGTTGTATCACGTTATATTGCAGAACCGATGACGATGATGACGAGGAAGGAACTCCTGGCGCACACAAGCAGCCATCGGTGTCACAATTTATAATTCTCTTCCAGCAGAACACTGCAAACAATGACTGGCTGCCAGGAGCAGGAGCAGGAGCCCGATCTGCTTTCATTCATGTCTTTGCCAATTCCGTTGAAACCACGTTGAAAAAGCCGATTTGGGTTGTTGGGGGAGGGGGAATGGGGGAGGGAGGTCCATTCCGGTTTGGAGTTTTCCGTTCGTCGTTTCTTGCAAATTTTCACAACAAACTCCCCTGGCAATTTGCTACTCTGAGCTTCCCTGTTCTCGAAACATACAATTCCGGTTTCGGGCCTCTTCTTCCGTTATTTATTAACAACCAGCACGGAAAGGTTTTCGTTCGTTCCGTCCCGTCTCGTCCTTCTCACGGGGAAGAAGCAATTTATTGTGTTTCAGAATCGGTTTGGTGCTTTTTCTCTTTTTGCTTTTTTTTTTTATTTAGTTGGTCATGCTGGTACACAGGGAGGATCCAAGCGAATCGTTACTTCAATAACTATTTCCGGAGGCAATTTTTCATTGCGTTTTATTCTTTCGGTTCGTTATATTTTGCTGGACAGGGAAGGTTTCGCTTATTGGGTTTGCTGCAGAAAAAGAAAAGCAGTAATGCACATACGGTGAAGTAATTTATCCTGAGAAATTGGGCTGAACCGAAAATGTTACTCCAATAAGAACCGCGCCAGCACCTAATGATGACGCACTCGTCTATTTTTGATCGCATCTCGATATTGACAAGCTAATTTTAAAATGTTTGTTACATCATCATCCCTAGAGCACTGGAACTAATATTTACAGAAGTAACATTTCAAAAGTAATGATTGAAAATAGTCGAACATTATTGAGTGTGTCGATTTAGGAACCGCTTGGAATATGGTGCCTCCACGGTAGGTACCTTTAGAGCAAATTGTTTGAAGTCGGCCAGGATGTGTATGTATGTGTATGTGTGTATCATCAAACTTTGCTTCGATTTGAAGATTGCTTTGGGTGCTTTGAGCCAAGCGTCGGACAGGTCAATAGACTTCCTATGAGGTGGATCGATTTTCTGATATGAAACAAACAGATCGAACTGTTAAGCAGTTCACAAACCTTTGAAACCTTCTTCCGGTTGCTTCGAAGCAGTAATACACTAGCTTGCTTCCGAAATTGAGATACAGCTGATCGAGGCAGAGTTGCGACCTATCACAATCACGATCGCCAAACAGCTGATGGTAGTAACGCTTTGTACATTCCTGTGCTGGTCGAAGCTCTCTCCATGACCATCCATCAAGTTGACGAAAGAAGTAAAAAGCAACTGGTGAATGTCGTCTTCTGTTGTGATCCATCACCGATCTGGTCATTCCCGACAATCACGACACTGATCTGTGCTCGTTTTGAAGCAGTTGCTGCTTTGCTTGCTTATGTGAGTGTGTTGGTGAGTGAGCCCAACAGCTTCCGTTTCATGTTGCCTGCTTTGTTTGTAACTCACACAGTCGCGCCTGCCGAGACGAACTTGGAATGCGTAGGCATTGTTTTCATTTTCTTCTGTCGTTTCGCTTTTTCTCATGATCGTACTGCAGAAGTCTCCACTGTTTTCGTTGTGCTTTTCATCATCAGCAGGGAGTGTAACGTTTTGCTTGTGAGCAGCGACCATTACTGGTGATTGTTGTTTGCCATGGCTCTAACTCTCACTGCGTGACAAAACGATCTGTCAGCGATAGTCGGTTGATGCGAAGACGAGTGTCACGTGAGTGTCATGATATTTTGCATCACTGGATCGAGGTTCTTTGCAAACGTATTCGTCAATGGGCTTAGGATGCTGAATATCTCTTCCTGTACCGAGTGCTCCTGATGTCCCAGGTTCCATGCAACTGATGTCTTACTTGCTGCTCAATGACTAGTGTGGTTTCTTTGTTCAGCTGTATCCAATTTGATCGACGAATTGAGCGAGGGACATATTCTCCAACTACCACAGCCGTTGGCCAAGTAAACAGCAATTACGTTTACTTTGCTCTTCGCCTTAACTTCACTTCATGGTGGCTTGAACGTCTTAGTACATAAGTGCCTTTGTGTGTGATCCAGAACCAGAGACTAGTTGCGTTTCCGACTTGGCACCTGGCATCGACGATTAAGCTGCAGCAGTAGTCAACACGATTTTCAGATGAACTGGCTCCACGAGCTACAAAGCAAGACCATGCTGGAGGTGGCTGGGTTCAATTCCCGGTCCGGTCTAGGAATTTTTCGGGTTGGAAAATTTCTCGACTTCCCTGGGCATAGAAGTATGATTGGACTTGCCACACAATTATACCAAAAAGCACTCAATTAATAACTGTGGAAGTGCATCTAGAACACTAAGTTGAGAGCACGCAATAAGCTAATATGGGATATGCAATAAGCTTGTAATGCGAAGAAGAAGGCTCCACGATCGGACCTAGCACCGAAGGTAGTTCTGGAACTGTTGTATCACGAACAGAAGGGTACTCGTGAGAGTCGTGACGAATTGGTTGGTTAGAAAACTTCTCGCAAGACAGGCTCATCTCGAAATGGTTTACCGCGAAGTGTTATAGAATCAGTAAATAGTACATATCTACCTATTCAACTTAAATTAAAATATCAACATTACACATTATTTTAAGATTTTCAAAACAGCTCGAAATTATGGAACTCTACCGTTTCTAACTCAAGTCTTTGTTAAGGTTCAATTTACGTTGATGCATTTTCAAAAAAATCAAAAGCAATTTTTTCGACTCATCATGTCAGATTGCAATAAGCTTGCCATATTTTGTGTAAAACAGCACGAGATTTTTTCAATCTTAAATGATGCTCCGAAAAAAAAAACTGCTTTAGAATTTATCGAAAATACATCAAAGTATGTTGAATGAAAACAACCGCACCCTGGATCTCTGCTTTGTGAGTGCTCGTGACACAGCTCCTTTCCTCTCCACGGCACCCGAACCTTTAGTCAAGGTAGTGCATCATCACCCTGCTTTAGTTATCGTGATCGAAAATAATATTGTCCATGATTTCACCAGCACTCCAAACGCTGTGTCATATGACTTCCGTAGAGCTGACCATTGCAGTATCGTCCATGTGTTGTCTAACCTAGATTGGGAGCATATTCTAGATCCTGTAGACGTCAACATTGCTGCACAAACCTTTTCTCACGTCTTGGCATATGTCATTGACAGACACGTTTCCAAAAAGATCATCCATATCGACTCTCGCGTCCCGTGGATGACGAAAGATCTTCGCTCGTTGAAAAGAACTAAGAAGGCTGCTCTCAGAAGATTTACTAAACTCCGCACACTGCCGCTGAAATGCTACTATGTCAGACTCAACCACGAGTATAAGCGGTTAAGTCGTCTCTGTTTTCAACGCTATCAACGAAGGATTCAACGGCGGCTAAAATCACACCCGAAATCCTTCTGGAACTTCGTAAATGAGCAACGCAGGGAAGTCGGCTTAACCTCTTCCATGATTTTTAATGGTGAAACTGCTGGAAATCAACAAGACATTTGCAACCTGTTCTCAGCCAAATTTGCTAGTGTGTTTGAAGCCGAGCAACTCTCCGCTAATATCATTACTTCCGCGGCCAGTAATGTTCCTTTGATCAACCAAACGCTCAGCATGGTCGAAGTCACTACAGATACGATTTCTAGAGCAGCATCTAAACTTAAGACTTCAACTAAGGCTGGACCCGATGGTGTTCCGTCGATTATTCTTAAAAAGAACATCACTTGTCTTTTAGATCCACTGCGCCGCATATTCCAGC